GCAGGCCCCCATTTTTAACGGCGGGCCCCCATCAGTAACGACAGGCCGTGGGCAGAGCTTTGTTGGGTTGTACCTGAATTGCTGTGAGGTGAAGCCCGCTGTCAGCACCACCAACAACTGCTGTAGCGATCCCGTCAGGAGGACGCTTGTCCAGCTCAGCTCGCTGAGTCAGTACCAGCACAGTGACCCTCCTTGGGCCCCGGGACTGGCCTTCTTCTCCTTCAGAGCCGCATGTGCAGCAGAACCACTCATGACGCCTACTTAGCTTCGGGTTCTCAGTGCAGCCTGTGAGGGACAGCACCACCGGGTTTGAAATGGAAGCTCCTGTGCCGGCCTTTGTGACAATTGTGATGCTGGCTCACTTATTAAAGCACTGTCATTTGCTGTTCCTGAGTGGCCCTGACGTCTGGAGACCCCAAACGCAGCAGAACGAGGCGCTGCCCAGCCCTGCACTTCCCCTGCTTCCCATCACCTACAGATCTTACTGCTGTGACCTGGAAGGTTTCATTGATGGATCAACAGACTTTTCACCTCCTCCCGGGCTTGTCTTAGCCCAGCAGCACCCCTGAAACCTCATCCTAGCCACAAGGGAAGAAGACCTTTCCATCCTGTAGAAGGGCAGCCGGCATGCCCTGTGTAGGCCAGGATGCTGAGACCTGGGCGTGTTACCTGGAGAGACCAGTCCCTGGAGAAGGGCATCGTGCTCAAAGACGTGGACGGTCCCCGGAGGAGGTGGACTGACCAAGGTTTGTCCTGTCCGACTGAGGCTATCGCCGTGAGCCAGAGCTGACGTGATGGCCCCTGACACACGCAGCCGCGTGTTTGACCACGAGGACCCCTGCGGCTGACAGACCTGTAGTGATTACGCCCTGGGGATGTCGGCAGGAGGGAGGAGATGCTGCTCTGGGAGTTCAAATCCACCCGCAGCTCCACGGAGGAAGATGTCCAGTCTCCTCCCTCACTTTTTAAAGCCGCTGGTGACCAAGAGCTCGAGTGGGAGTAAAGGAGGTGCTAAGCCCAGCCTTTTAGAACACTGTGGATGCTCTGTTGTTTTTCTTCATCTTGGATGTCCCTGCAGCAACACTCAGTCGTGGATTTTCCTACAAATTCTGAGGCCAGGCTGTACAGTTTACCCACTGAGAAGAGGTTTTGTGCATGTGGACTGTTCTTTCTCCAGAAATCTCTCTTAACCTCCCCAATTAGATTTCCTACCACAGAACAGATTCAGTTCTTGTCGGTGGTGCATTGCGAGTGGTCCTGAGGAGCCCTGGCGGCCCAGTGGTTAAAGCACTGGACTGCTGACCTGTCTAGGAGGATGGTTCAAACTGACCAGTGGCTGCAGTGGAGAAAGGAGCCGGCCGTTGGCTCTCGTGAAGGTGGTGGCTGGGACACCCTCTGGGCAGCTCAGTTCTGCGACATCAAGGTGCTCTGAGTTGGAAAGCAACCATAGGGGGCTCCCGTGATCTTCCAGTTCAGCAGTTTCTCTGTGGCAGTTCAGTGGCTTGGGTGACATCCCCTGCTTCGTGGGACCATGTCACCCTCCTGTTCCCAGCTGTCCTCTCCCACGGACATGAACAGGACTGTCTGCCAAGGTTCTTACCTCATCTTCCAAGGTGCTGTTGTCACTTGATCCCATACAGTTTTGAAACGAGCACAGCGTTCAAGGCAGAGGGTTTGTCTTGGTTTGGGTTTTTGTTTGTTTCTTGGTTTGTTTGGTTGGGTTTTTTTTGCTAGGTAAGCTGGACTTTTGTTCAGTTTTAATACGACTTCAGGAGAAGTTTAGTTTAAGGTTTAGAGATTACCTCAAGGAAGTAGTTTCAGGGATTCATCCAGCCTCCATGGATCCAGAAGTCTGGATTCCGCAAGAAATTGAAATTCAGTTCTTCATTCCCCGCCCCCCCCCCCGCTTTTGATCAGGATTGTTGTATAGTATCTTTGATCAAAATGTTTGATAGTGGTAGCTAGCTAGCTAGGTGCTGTCTGGTGTTTCCGTCCTCCTGGCAAAGGCAGCAGTTGCCCATACCTTCCTCTTATTCTTCCTCTTGCTCCAGGCAAGTAGAGACCAGCTAGTTGTGCCTGAGATGGCTTCCTTACATGCCTTCAAGACCCCAGACACAATGAAACTAACTTGAACTAGAGATTGTAATATTTTTAATACAGTAGGCCTTTTGTTCAGAGGGTTGCTATGGACTTGTGCTTAACTTGACGGCAAGCAACAACGGCAACAACAGGTTCAGTGCATTATTTTGTTCTGTTATGCATCAGGATGTCAGAGTCCTAGAAAGCAGCTACCAGAAACAAGAATTGAAATTAGTGTCACTGGTTTCTTTGAAATAGGAGGGAGTCCTGGTGGCCATGGGTTGGTTGTTGTTTGGTGCCAAACAGTATGACTTAGAGCAGCCTATGAACAAGACAGATCTGAGCCCTGTCCAATCCTGTGCCTGACAGATCTGAGCCCTGTCCTATCCTGTGCCT